GCGAACCAGCATCACATTTCGGACACCGCACGTCAAAATAAAAAAGGTGAGTATTATCGGCCAATTATTATGCCCGAACAACGTACTCCAATTTATTTGAAACAGGAATATTCAGCGCATTATTACTTCCTGATCAAGTAGTGAAGAAACAAAAATTAGGAGGTCTGTAGAATTATAGTCTACTATGATATTAGTACTGCGCTAATAATAGACCTAATCCTAAAATTGTAGACTTGTCATGATATAACTGTCTAATCTATAAGATCTTACGTAGAAGTCATACCATCGTCTACACCAACTCATCGTATCGTAACAATCGCCAATACGTGATGTAGGACAAGCTTAGGCTAGAGGTAGAACAATATATTTAATATGAATAAAAGATATAAGATAACATTCAGCAAGCACCACGCCTGCATGGCCGAGCCATGCCATTCGATCAACTCCAATGAATTTAATTCGTTGTTCCCGCTTTTTTCTCGTTGAGTTTTTCACCGTGTTAAATGTTGAATGTCTATTTCCTACATTGTTTCGCATTAGGGCTCAATGCCACTAGTGATCCTTATATTTACTCACTCTTGTTTATTGCAAATCTAGCAAATGCCATTCCTCTAAATGGTTGAGTTTCTATACATCTGAGAAATAGAAAACCTGAGTTTGTTGCACTTACGCTTCTCAATTAGAGGATGGTTCATCTTAAAAAGCGGATAAGTCAGTATATTATGTAGATTGATATCATCGTTTCAAAATCCATGAAGTTAGGCGGGGTCTACAAGGTTTATAAATACAACCGAAACTTCGTAGGTTACAGAATTTGAACAGGCTTTGGAAGAAATGTTCTACTGGCGAGTAAGCGTTGAAAATATCAAGTAGTTTTAATAGCTTGCTAAATCGTTACGCTCAAGCCGAGTCGCTCTCTAAAATATGGGTTTCTAATTTAGTAGACGATTTTGAATTGTCAGTACACAAACTACAGCATTTAGAAACAACTTTATTGAGTATGGAGAGTAGGTTAGGTTAGGTAGCCGCGAAATGCTGTTCGTCCCCAGTTGTATTTAGTTCTTTTTTATCTGTTGTTCACTAATGTTCGAGAGGTGGTAGATATGAGTTTATGCTTTTGCAATTACCTGTCATCTGTTGGCGGTGTGTGGCGATATGTTCAGAAGTATTTAGATCGATTCTACTTTATGATAAAGCTGCCGTTTCAAGACTATAAATCTTAAAATACTTTCTACAGTTTGTAGTTTGAGTTTATCCTGGAATACAATGTTTGATTTCTTTGTCTTTAAGATCGATAAGTCAAAATACTTAGCAACTAGGTGGCGCATTCCAACAACTGTATTCTCACCTTATGACACTTAAACCAACCTTGAAGCCATATCGTTTAAGCAAATCCTTTTTAGAATGAAAGGAAGAGACGGCAATCCGTGACAAGAATAGTCAGTCGGGGACGTTTAAAGCTCATCTCTGTAATAGAATAAACACTAAAATGGTGAGATCAATGTGAGGCTCCTTTATCTACTCTCTGTTGTGGCGTATTATTAGACTTCAGTGCTTTGTACATTCAATGCGGGCGAACCGAATTTTGGACATCCATAGTCTTCTTATCATGGGCCTATGAAGATATTAGCCTTCTGAGGAAAACGTAGCAGACTCAGTTCACATATTTTTGAAGTACAGAGACAGTGATTCTAGTACATACAGCAAATGTCTGCACTTAATGGGCAAGCCCAAAGATTCCTGGCTAATTATTGAGAATGAGCCATGACTCAACCATCGTCTCTAACAGATAATAGGAATGAATGACTTTTAGATTGAGTGCGTCAAGTGGTTTCCAACATACATAAGTCAGTGAAACGGGTGAAGTCAAGATCTGATGATCGAACTCTATCAAATGAAGTGAGAAAGAAGTCTTAGCCTGTTTTCGAGACTCAAATAGACCAGACTGTCGATAGCGTTTAATGATCTTTGTCTACACAACTATTGTACTGAATCATACTTTGATAAATTTACGATCATATACAAAATTTTCCTATTCAGCTATCTAACTACATTGATTTTGGCCTCATTTGGTTCGTAAGCGTAAATCTATTTGATATTTGTTGCCCAACCTCGAAAGAGTTGAACGAGTTGTATCAAATAGTGTTACATTTTAGTGAAATTCTAAATGCTACTATTATTTTTGACTTTCATTAATGCAGTTTGGGTGGACTTGTTTAATGTGCAACAACACTTAAATCGTCTAACCGACTAGTTTAAATAAGTTTAAAAACCTGGTTTATCGATGTGATTGAACAAATACAAAATGTTTGAAAGCTTTAGAGACTCAAGGTAAAGCTGGCTCGGTGAATGATAGATTTTAGAATATCCCAGTTCGGAATCACGAGTACCATTTAGTTGCTCAAATGATTATTTGCTCCAGCTTGTGAACTCAAGGTTGATTGTACTGGCATAATCATTGAGCTCATGACCGAAAAATTTCTGCACAATTAGCGTCATTGTCAGGCCTCAGTGACTAGTACGATGTTGAACAGAGGCCATGTCATACTTTATTTTAGCTTATTTTAAAAGTGGAATTTCGATTAATTCTATAGGATTACAAATAAGGTTGATCACTTTGAGGGTTTCAAAGTAGTGAAAAAGCATAGGATGGTGTGTTATTGGACGCATATTTAGGTTAGTATATATAAAAATATTTTCCATTTATACAGTAGTCTTTATATAAGCCTGAAGATGAAAATCAAAGACACTGATGTGCATTCTGCGTTGACTTTTAGAATGTTCTATTATTTCTATCATTATTAACGGCTGTTACATGCAGATGCAGGGTGAAAATCTACCAAGTTAGTTGTTGTGAAGATCTATGTGAAAGACTAATATGCATAGAAGAGCAAATGTCGAGCGCCACGAGTGGCAGTATTTGGTACATGAGAAGTTTGCAAGCAAGTCCAAAGGGGTTCTACATATTAGGCCACTATCAAGTGACGAATGGTGCTAGATACTTCGAATTTTTAACATCGAATAAATTGCTTTTGCTAAGTGATGAGAGATTGTACAAAGGGAGAAAACAGTACAAATGGACTGTCAGGACATGGAGACAAAGTACCTAAAATATTAGTTCAAAAATAGGTGATTCAAAAAGTATATAACTACATGTGTGAAATAATTGTAGGTGACCTGGGAGAAATACGCAGATCAGGGTGTAGTAATCGTTCCTAACAAGTGAATTCTAAATAAATAACCACTTGAAACGGTTTACAACGTCCACATTAGCGAAAACGGATTTTCAGAAACAGAAGATGTGTAGACTAAAATGGCTGATTTATCAGGGATGTCTGAAAGTTTAGTTTCTTAGATGGTTCGATTGATCGCCAGCACGAAGGTTAAGATAGAATATCTCCGCTGCCTAACAATATAAATTCGAATGATTCAGTATCCCATAAGGAAGCGCAAAGTATGAGACGACACACTTTTACATTAGTGTATATATATTATTGTACAGTTTATCAGAACATTTACTGTGTTTCTGAATAATTTGCACTGGAAAGTGTCAAACGGCTGGTGCCATTTGTGGTCACGCTTATTCCAGTCACCTTGCTAGGCAACGTGGTTAAAGAATAATTTATCTTGCCACGCTTGTTAACTAACAATCTGATTATCATTTATTAGTTGTGTTATCGTCTCAAGTCTAGGTCTGGCGATTTGTCTTTGATCGCGTGTTAGAATTAGGTTGAGTCTGTAAGTGTACGTTGAGACAGCAAATATTATATGGAGACTGATCACTTACAGGTGCTAATGGGAATTTTGTGATGACCTATAACATTTTGTAGCGTTAAATGAGTCCCCAAAATAAATACCTCTGTAAGCTTTCGATATTTGATGCTGACAGCATTAATTTCAGTGGCGCACAGTCATGCTACTGCGCCAGACCACGAGTTAGTGCTCAGTGTTTCATCTCTCCGACAACCGCTAGTGCTTCAAGCCAGCTATGATTAGTCACTTTCCGATATATCGATATTCTATGAAATAAATCTTCGAGTCTGTTCGCTTCTGACTTCTGATTTGACTGGGTTGGCATGTTTCCATTACAAAAGGTGTTGCTGGTTAAGGTGTACTTGTGGCATCTTTAGTTGTAAATACGAAATCAGTACAGCTTAAGGGCATGTGAGTTAAGACATACATAGTTACGAGCTGTAATGGAAGAGTGCTACAGTTGGACCCTGTTGAAAGGACCAGAACTGAGGTCAGCTTCAGATCACACGTGGTTCCGTCCTCATCCTTTGTCGAGAAAATAGAATAATTGCAGTGAGCCAGTTGCATAAAACCTAAGTTACACTGACGGTTGAAGATGAATGACTTAAGCTGGGTTAGCATGAATATTAAAGGATCTGAGGCTAAATATAACCGCGATAACGATGAAGACTTTTTAAGATGGAGACCTGGGCACAGACACCAGAGAGTAAGCCTTCAGGAATTAGGCCGTATGCTCATTGTGTTTAGCACTGGTAGGGTTAGTAAGGAAGTGAGGTGAGGTAACACTGTTGATACAAACACCAATATAGCTGAGAAAAGCCAGATGCAATAATAGGCTGTGCCCTACAGTTAGGTTGCAGAGTCATGCTTAGGTCGACAAATCATCGTTCAATGACGCATAAGCGTCAGTGAGAGGCCGTGTGGGACGAGTGAGACACGCAGATTTAATGGTGTAAGCTACGCCACCTCCGTATAACTCAGTTGATTGGTGATGAAATAGTGTATCTGTTTTTGTCCGTGACTTTTTTTGTACCTCTTCTGTTTCTTCTGTTGTTGGCCTTAACTACCTAAGATGTAACCAAATATAAGTGGTATTTACTAAATAGATAACTAAAAACATGGATATATTCCATCAATATTTCCAAAAAATTCATACTGCCAGATTACTTCGTGTATCAAAACATCCGGTGTTTCGAATATGTTGTGTAATATCAAAGCTTGTTTAATTGCGCAGTTTGAAGCAGATCATCTACACCTATTCGATCGATACTATCGAATATCGTGCTCAAGGGAGAAGTATTTTGCTAACGGCGACTAATTTATTAACTAAAAAGTTCACATGTATCAAAAAAGTAAACCATGGGCACTGGTAAAGCATCTATATTAAAATGTAGTTTATTAAAAAATAATTTAGTTCAGAAATACAGATAAAAGCGAGTATTGCGCATTATTCATGGCAGTTATTTTCGCTACAATAGTTGGAGCCTTACTACCCGTTCATTCTCTTATACTGAGGGGTGTAGTCAATGACTTCACCGAGGAAATTTTTCTCAAAGAAAGCATCTATGTATATTCTAAATGGTTTGCTCTTGTGGGTGTTACAGTGTTATTATTAGCATTCGGTCAAGATTTCTTGATCAATTTGTTCACAATCAGGCAAATTAACCGAATTCGTTCGCTGTATTTCAGAGTAATGTACATTTTCCAGTCTTTTCAAATTATAAATATTTCGGAATAATTTTCTCACCGGACTTTATTGTTCATGTCAGCTGATATCAACTAAATATTTAGTATCTAGGTTGACGTTTACTTTGAAATCAACGAATGGTTATTTTTTCAAGCGAATTCATAAGGGTTTTTATCTCAGAGATTTCTATGTGCTAGTATATAATTGAAAACTCTACCGTTAGTCAAGTTGTAACTTTGTTTAAAATCCATCTACTAGTTTCAACCGTTGTCAAGTTCACTCAATACATTTGAGAATGGAATAAACTGCTGAGAGCAAATATCGAGATATATAATTGGTTTGTGTAACCACATGTCTGTCTTAATTCACCTACATAGTTTACTTGGAAAGAAAGAAAGTTCTACCTACAATGAATGAAAGTGAATGCTTAATAAATGAACATGGTCTATTATCGTAAAAATATTTCACAACACGTTTGTTTTTGTAACAGATATTTAATCTATCTTGTTATTTACATCAGTGCTAGCAGTAAGTCGACTATGTTTTTTATTATTTACGTTTTCTGGAGCATTATGTTACAGGAATCATTGTTTATATAAAACATGTTAGTATTAGATGACGTATTAATAAGCAAGAATGATAGTCTGGATGAAAACCAACTAAAATAGTGTCTCGCATTCCAAATGCAACTCAAAATGAATTCATTTTACATGCTAATGTCTATGAGATCTAAGAGAGTATGTTTATTTAACTGCTTCTTGAAAGTTGGTTTTATTTTTTAAACTACACTGAATGAGCAACTGTAATAACAACAAATGTTTTCTAGCGCATTCGAATACAGAGTTGGTATTGTACAAGGAATAACTAAATAATACTACATATAGTTCTGAAATTCATAATCGTTTAGACAAAATTTAGTGTTCATTAAATTGACTGTCAAGAGGACAGAGTGCTGAAACTTTTATTGTAGCCAAGTTAAGGTCATAGAAAATCTTGCGACGTGGTGATCTAGTGTTTTTGTTAACGAATCTCTCCCAATTCTCATTCGGTAGTTACGGTTGAATAATAAGAAGCTTACTGTTAATTGAAATTATTTTGAACACATTTTATCTTATTGCTTAGTCTTATGTCAGGCGTTTGGTTTGAAAATATCAGTAAGAAAACTAGGCTTATTCAAACCAGTTAATATGACCTCAAGCTCTATGAACGATTCACGATGACATTGTAGAGGCGTGCAGAAAAACTAGTGATTTAGCAAATAATAGCAAACTTTTCTGAACAAGCTTTAATGTCGGAAGGCAAACTAGGTGAGTTCTGCTTTGTTTGGAAATAAAAATTTGTGCTTTAAATAACTGAGGCATAAAATTTTCTGGTTATTTCTCATAGAAGTAAATGTTCGGTTATTTAGTATGCCAATCTGTTTAGATTTAATGAAAAACATTGCCAACTGTTATTTTTCAGAGCATTTTACGCCAGGACGTTGCATGGTTTGATGAACAGTCATCTGGATCACTCATCAGCAAACTATCTCATAACATTGACAACATTCAACTAGGGATGGGTTCAACATTGACCGATTTCATTAAAAACTTGTCTGGATTCATAGTAGGTATTATAATTAACTTCGCAGTGGGGTGGAAACTTGCCTTGGTTGCTTGCGCTATACTGCCCATCATCGGTGCAGTTTTTGGGTGCTTTGGGTTTCTGATGAAATACTTCACCCGCAAGGAAATAGTTGCATACGCACGCGCTGGTGCTGTTGCCGGCGAAGTCCTAGAAGCTATACGCACCGTTGTTGCGTTCGGTGGAGAGAAAAGGGAGTTGAAAAGATACCGTGAGCAACTGGGAACGGCAGAAAAAGCTGGGCTGAAGAAAGTAGTGGCATCAGGTGCAGGTAAGTACCGGCATGTGTAATAACCACAGAACTTGATTTGTTGTCGTCTGAGATTTGCAATCGTTAGTCTGTTCCGCTAACATGTTTAATTAAGAAAAAAAACGGTTATTTTAAAAGTTAGATTGCATATCTCAATCGTAAATATGACAATATTTGGATGCAGTATCTGCTCTCACTGTCCTCAGTTATAATCTGTCCTTTTGAAGGATAATGTGCACTTGTTTGTATGTATTACAGACAGAAAATGTCAGGCATTCGATAGTTTAGATAAATGATACAAGTATGAGGTAAAAGTATTTTGATGAGATTACAGGCTAAAATATGCATGGTTTCATCTATCCTTTATAACTAGATTGCTGATAATGCAGTGGTATCCATCAGCATTACTGTTTGTTAACTGCAGTACGGAAACAATATCAAAAGTCAAACGTTACACTGAACAACCTGACTAATCTGTCATGTGAATCCAGAGTGTCATCAACAGATGAATTTTGTTGGATTGTATGACGATTGGTTGTATTTGAATTAATGTACTAAGAATTCCCGAAATAGTGCAATTCAAGTCAGGTAGAACTAGATTAGCACAAATGAACGTACTATATTTGGAATTCGTAATCAGCGCTCAATCAAGTACAAAGGAATCAACAATGAGTTCAAATGCCACAATTGTCATTCACAGAAGGATACATATAAGTTGACGTAGCAAGATTAAAGCTTGGGCAAACTAGCGTGGACTCAATTTATTTCAGTCAATTAGTTCCTTTGATGGTTTTTTCGCTACGTTCTCATCAGTGAATTATCAGCACTCGTATTTTCTAATCAGAATTACATAAAAGTTGGCATAATTATGCAAGTGAAATTCGTAAGAATTGAATATGTTCTGACTTTCTTCAAATCAAGAAAAGAACGATGCTCAAGTATATCGAGGTTTTATAGGTTCGTATACTTCTAACTAAAAAGTAGGTACTCCATGTCTATGAAAGATTTCGGAGAAAACTTTACAGAATAATGAAATTATTCCAAAACTACTCAATCGTGCACATTTGATGGAGGAAATTTTAATTTTATTGGTTTGCAATAAAGAGGAGAAGCGAATGTGTACATGTTATGCAGTTCAATACTGTACTATGAATTACCGACTTGTGATTTTTCCTACTTTTAGTTAATGGGACAATTGGACTGACTGTGTTTTGTTCTACTGCTCTACTATTTTGGTATGGCTTTAAATTAATAGTAAATGAAGATTATGACGCTGGAGCTATTGTGACGGTATGTAATCTTAGTTTTTATGCCAAACAGTGATTTGACATAAATCTCGAAATCTACTATGATAAGATTAAGAGGGAGGCTTTGTAAGAATAAGTTGTTTAAAACAAAATCCCGATTCCAGTAATTAGTGAAGCGATTTGCTTGGCATTTTATTCACACATCTTTAGATCCCCATACAATATATTGAATGGGAAGATCATTACTCTGGAATGTTTGCATTTCATAAAGTTTATGAGTTATCATTAGAGATGAAAATATGTCATTTCTAAAGTGGACTTAATTTTGAAAATATTGTTTCTTAATAATCACGAAGTCTGAGTCCCTTAATAAAACAATTCATATGGTCCAATTTCTTTCTATTCTTTAGATCAAATTATTTTCGTTACCTTTGAATCTCCTCAGGTAGTCCGGAAAAAAAACAGCCAAAGAGTTTGGCAGTATATGTTTAGCAATTCAACGTAACCTGTTGATTGTAAAATAATTGTAGTTGTTTGTTATAATTCACAAAACAGTAAACATCTGCACTAATTATTTCCTTTGTCAATGTCAAATCAAGCTACCTACATAATAATCGTTATGATAAATGCATGTGATGTCCAATGTATAAAATTAACCAGTACTATAAGTTTGTTTGTTTAATGAATCCGTATCCCAAAATACGTTCTTCCTACGCTCTATATTTTTACCGGATGAAAATTTCTCACTGAAAAAAGTAAATATTTGATCAATGTATTTTTACATTACAGAGCTAAAAATCTTACGAAAGATTACATTTCACCTTTACGTTTATAATTTACGGCCATTATTTTAGGTATGGCCAATCAATTATTCGATTACAATCTGATGAGAGAATCGTTTAAGGCTTGTATTTAAGAGGTAACTGCTTGTGTTTTAAGAAGAAACGAGTGAGGATTCAGAATTGAAAATGACCGTTCAGTATATTCATCACCTGTATATCATAGTAACACGTCAAATTGAAACTTCTATAGTTTTCACTCATTATTGTTATGCCTTTCCAGATTTTCGTGAATGTTCTTTTAGGAAGTGTTTTCCTGGGTAACGCTCTACCAAGTTTTCAATATTTTATGAACGCACAGGCGTCAGCCACTGAAATTTACAGTATTATCGAGCGTGTGAGTTTATCCCACAACCTATCTTGTAAAGTTGTTTAGATGTCATTGATCAATTGTTTTATGATAGCTTTATAAGAAATATTCCCTTACATGCTCACTGGCCATTCATTTGAGAAATACTGAAGAAATATTTCCTCTTCTACAATTTCAAGCTTAAATTAATGACGGTAACAAAGTACAGTCTTCGAGATGAAAGCTTTTATTATGTCCCATTTACAATAATATAAAATGGGAAATAGCCGACTGATTATTAACGTTCTTCAGCACTAGTAGATCAAAATAGAAACTTTGATTGTTGAAAATAAAATGCATGTCGATTGTGATTACCTTTGTTCTCTGGAAGTGATTGGATTTTCTTTTGGATGTCTGACAATGGAAACAGTAACTAACACTACAGTAACTCCGTATTTGGAATTGTGATGAGACTGGCGTTCAGACTTTAAGGATATCTACATCTGTTTTGAAACTATCTATTTTGTGATATTAAACGTTTGTAATTGTTCAAAACACAGGGTTTGTAGAAAATGTAGTTACGGTCCTGTGTCACAAATACAAAAACGGTGTGAGATTTTATGAGATCACAGAAGGAAGTTAGAGGGACAAATAACGAAGACATGTGTGTTATGAATAGAACAATGTTTGGTAATTTGTTACTTCACACAAGTCTTTAGATAACAGTTACTGATGTTGATATCCAGTGCATTTAAAGTACGGATTACCGGATAATTGATTGTAGAGTTCTGCTAGGCCTTCTGAGATATTGATCCATATTTTAGGTGAATTGTTTCCTGAACTTTAATGATACACTGTTCTAAATTAATGAATTTGTTTGTAATTTCATGCAGCATGCAATGGGATTGAATTGTTTATTACTTTTATTTTTTTTGCTTCCGGGCAAACTGCCGACATATCATTCAGATTTGTTGTAGCTTGTTAGGAAGCCGCTAACTACTTTATACCCACTACTTTATTTCAGGTCCCGGAAATTGACAAAGACTGTCACGGAAGGCTGATTCCGAACTTTTCTGGGAACGTCACATTCAGAAATGTTTCTTTCGCATACCCAAGTCGACCAGATATTGCAGTGAGTAAATCAGAATCTCTGCTAATGTGCCAGTTTAGTAACTTTTAAAAGGTGACTGAAGTAAGTTGTCGTGGATGGAGAGATATTGAAAAATATGTTCTTCCAGATTCTGTACTGTTTTAAAACACCCAGGAAGTGATCAAACATATACTACACTATTAGTTTTTCAATAAGATGTTTGCATAAATCGCAAGTTGGATGTATGGACATGTTTTTTGAAATAATATAATTGTACACCGTCTTGGGTACTCTTCAGCTGAAAACACGTCACTCACTAAGTCAATATAAGATCTGAAGTTTATTGATATGCTTTGGTGTGTCATCGCTTTTTTCAGCCAGTGGTTATACATGATTTTTGGGAAATTTTATAAAGATACAAGTGAAAAGATATCTATGTTTCCATACTAAACTGATGTTAGTATCACCACTCGGTCTATGCATACCTATATTGTTACATTAACATGACGGTAAACCAGTGACAGGAACAATCGTCTCGTGAATAGCTTTTCCTGAGTTTTATTTATAGGTGTCATCTCATAAATTAGCATAGATTATCTCCTGTATTATTTAATGAACAACGCCAGAAATATTTCCTTTCATCGTTTTACACTGGTTGGCGATAAGAGCATATGAGATGTCAATGAGAAAACGTTTACCCCTTTACTTTTAAATGCAATTAAGTTTTACTCAATTTGAGTGCACCGTCTGCTATATACGTGTGTACTAACTCTGCTTTGTAGGTTTTAAAGAATTTTAGTTTAAGCATCAAAAGTGGGCAAACTGTGGCATTGGTTGGACCGAGCGGTTCAGGGAAAAGTACCGTTGTTCATATGTTGCAAAGATTTTATGACCCAACGAAAGGCGAGGTATGCAGTACTTTGAAGTAGCTTCATTTTGATATGTTTTTACAGGTTTCATTAGAAGATGTGTCTATGCAGTATTTGTGCTTTCTAAACAAGGGTGGTTACTTCACACTCTGACAATGAGTTTTATAACTGAAATGTCCCATAAACTTGAGACATGATTCATCTCATTAATACATGTAAATAGAGGATGAAAGACTTATCCAAGTGATAAGTGCGTTTCCACTAATAAAAATGCTTATCCACGGTAATGAAATTTCATGAATATATTCCTGAAGCGATCTAAATACATATTCTGTAATAAATTACTCATCGATAGTTGAATTAGTTGGCCATTTTCATTGAACAACACACATGTTTTCAGTTAGATCGTCATTAGGATTTGCTGCAGTATTTAGCAGTGCTTTTGTGTGTATGTGAAAACCAATAAGCTGACAAACGGAGTTTATGAGTCAATTATAACAATAAAGTAGACTACATAGGCGAAAGTACGAATTAATGATTAGCTGATGGGTATATTAGTAATAATAAGAATAGTGATTTCGATAGAAGTATGAATCAGCGTTTCAATACTGGTTGTAGGTCAAAACGTAAAAGAATAAGTTTTAAGATTAAAGTCAACAAAACTAAATAATAATAATTGTTTAACTAATCAGATACTTGAAAATATATGCGAAAGGGAGTAAAGAAAAACAAACAGATAATGGATGTTAAAAGTTACAAAATCGTTTGTGAAGTTCTATTTGATCAAGGAAGAGACAGACTTGACGTCTAGAGTTCTAGATACTAGAGCTATTTTTAATTTCAACCACTGGAAGTTTTGCAAATATTATTTTCTTTGTAATTTCTTCCATACACTGTTCCGACTACTGTGAAACCACTCTTTTGAATCCGGGCAAAATTTCTGACAAGATTATTTTATTTTGTTTCGTTATTTAATTACCGTTAATCTAAACATGTTGTATTATATTTGATGTTTTAGGTATTAATCGAGGATGAGGACATCAAGAATCTGGACCTGAAAGCTTATCGTAATCAGATAGGCTGTGTACAGCAAGAACCGGTACTTTTCGAAGGAACTATCAGTGATAACATAAGGTTAGGGAAGCTGGATGCAACTCAAGATGAGATAGAAGAAGCTGCAAAGCTTGCCAACGCTCACGGTTTCATTCAACAACTCCCAGATGTAAGCCATCTCAACATTGTTGAAATTTAGGCCATTTACCAGAAGTAATATTATCTACTCAACTAAAATTTAAACTGTTATCATTTTATGAATTCAGGGATACGACACTTTTGTGGGTGAAAGAGGTGGCGGAATGTCAGGTGGTCAGAAGCAACGTATAGCAATCGCTCGAGCTCTTATTAGAAAGCCGAAGTTGCTGCTGTTGGATGAAGCAACGTCCTCACTTGACGCAAAATCAGAACGTCTTGTCCAAATGGCTTTGGATAGAGCGATTGAGGGGAGGACTGTGGTAGTTGTTGCTCATCGTCTTACAACAGTTCGTAATGCTAATTTGATAGTCGTGCTTGATAAGGGAGTGGTTCGCGAATCTGGGACACACGCTGAACTTGTAGCTGAAAACGGTCTTTATGCTGCGATGCTTAGTAATCAGGTACGTTCAAATTTCCCCAGACTCGTGTTGCTCAAAGCGTTTTGGCGTGTGCTTGAATTATTTTACGATAGATTATCATGATAAACTGGTGGATACCAATAACGAAACGTCTTATATGTTTGTCTAAGAAGTGGCACTTTTTTAAAATTTTACTTTAAAAATTTCATTCTATTGTTTGCATTTTAAGCTAATATGGCTAAATTATACTTAGAATAGAGTGGTATCTGTAAGCTGACATGTTTTTTTTGTACGCGCAAAGTTTGTGTTGCACAGAAAGATAATCAACTATTAAATTAACTAAAACTACTATGCATTAGTTTTGAATTGAAACACAACAGTATCGTTTGCAAAACTTTGATCTGGTTTATATTAGTGCCATTATTGTTACTCCGCAACTGTCAATCTGCAACTGAAAGAAGTTTGAAGTAAATACGTTCTTTAAAATTGTGGTTAAGAAATACCACCTTTGTTAATATTTACGAAGAGAGTAATTACTTGTTGTGGGTTGTGTAAGTTGACCATACTGAATTAAGAGTTTACCATAGGACTAGATTATTGTATTTGACACTTTCACAAATAATTAAACATCAAATATATTTCATTCAGAGAATATTGGAGAGTGCTGAGAACGATGACAATGAATTATTGGATGAAGGATCTCGAAATAAATATATCGTCAGTGGAAAAGACTTGTTGACGAAATTAGACGATATTTGTAAAATGGATAATGGTGAGGATGTAAGTAACTTTGTTTTAAAAATTAATTTTAATATGCTTGTTCTGCCATAAAATGTTTCTCAGGATTCACATATAATTCAAACCGACTTCTCGTTTTCATTGAAATTACATTGAAACATCATTAGCGAATATACTTTAAGATTGATTTTCTCACAAATTGCTTGAACTTATGTATAGTTTAAAGATTCCGCTTACTAAACAGGAAGTGATAGATTGTTACAAAGTGTAGTTGTAAATTCAAATATTCTTATGAAATATGGGACACTGTTTGTTTCTCCTCGATCTGCGGCTGTTTGACCACGTACATCCACAATTTGACATAATATTACAAACGTGTGTGTTTAATGATTGTGTAATTTTTGTCAGTCTTTGGTGAAAATGATGTCAACCTAATATTTTCAAACACTGTAGTAAAACATTGAGCAAACCTCTGAATAACAGTGGTCTGTGGAATAATAGTTATAAGTAATCAAAAATAACACAATGTTCTTGAATAACACTTTCAAATGATTTCACATGTGCGTGTCATTTATTTCATTTGTTTGTGTAGAGTGTATCTGAAACCACTGGAAATGTTCCATACGGGAATTTTTCCCTTATTTCAACAATTTCGATTCTACGTAATCAAGTAAGTTTTATATTTAATCGAGTTTAGATTGATAATTATTATGATGTTTCAGTGTAATGTCAATGTGTAGTATTGGAAGTAAATGTGATTGGTCACTGAGTGTGGACAAACAGACACTCGACTTACTATTAAATATTGCAATCTCCACGAGTTCCCACACTGATATTAATTATGTGATTTCTTTACTACTTATTGATTTCCATGTGGTACACACTAAGAATGATGGCTTGTAACTGTGTGAAATAAGTATTATCTATCGTGACTCTGATTTTCTGTTCTTGGTCGTGAATTTTGTATCTGATATGTGATCTAGTCTCTGTTTTGTGTGTAACAAATCGTCCAAGTATCCAATGTTGTGGCATTATAAACTCGGTCACACAGACCCGTCTCATTTTCATATTATTGTAATAGCGTAGTATACCTCAGAGAGATGAAAAGTCTATATTCGAACGAGTTTTTTTTTGTTTAAGCAATTTTGTTATTGTTCCTTTTGTCTGAGGTTTGGGATTTCTGTTCTGAAAGATTTCATAAACTATCCTCTACAAGCCCTTAAATTGTACACCAGTAAAAAGAATGATTATTGTTTCCAAGGTCTTGACATTTTACGCATGAACATCAGAATAAGAAAGTTTTGGAACTATACTGAAATATATTCAGTACGCTTATTAGAATGATGCATGCCTAAATGATATGTACGTTTAGCTATTCAGTTAGTATTTTGAACTATCTGCAGTTCACATTTTATTTCAGGCGATAGTCGTTTCATTACAATTCTTCCATTACTTAAATTATTTTATTCATGCAGATGTGTTACGGGAATCGCCAGTTAAGTATGATGATTAGAAGTAATCGAACTGATGCGCTAACTAAGAATTCCCAGAAAGGTTCAATTTAAAGCTGATAGAACTCCATGAAGACAACTGAACGAATTATATGTTTGGAATCGGAATTAGCCGTTAAATAAAATACAAATGTGCACGATTGAGTAGTTTTGGAATAATTTCATTATTCTGTAAAGTTTTCTCCGAAATCTTTCATAGACATGGAGTACCTACTTTTTAGTTAGAAGTATACGAACCTATAAAACCTCGATATACTTGAGCATCGTTCTTTTCTTGATTTGAAGAAAGTCAGAACATATTCAATTCTTACGAATTTCACTTGCATAATTATGCCAACTTTTATGTAATTCTGATTAGAAAATACGAGTGCTGATAATTCACTGATGAGAACGTAGCGAAAAAACCATCAAAGGAACTAATTGACTGAAATAAATTGAGTCCACGCTAGTTTGCCCAAGCTTTAATCTTGCTACGTCAACTTATATGTATCCTTCTGTGAATGACAATTGTGGCATTTGAACTCATTGTTGATTCCTTTGTACTTGATTGAGCGCTGATTACGAATTCCAAATATAGTACGTTCATTTGTGCTAATCTAGTTCTACCTGACTTGAATTGCACTATTTCGGGAATTCTTAGTACATTAATTCGAATACTCCTGATTATTATATCTACTTCTTTCATAAGTAGGAATCGCACAGTCATTTTAAGACTACGATACATCTGAATTGTGGAAATATACTTACCAAAGTATTGTATTTATTCCCAAATTCCAAGCAGCTATAATTTATCCCCATTGCATGAAGTGAAAGGTAATAAAGAGTATCCTAATTTTACTAAAGTCAGTAAAGGGAAAACATTACCTATTCGCATAGGCCTACTGCTCTCAAGTGGCATATGAGGCGACCAGAAGTATCCAGCCAATTCTACCCTATGCTCTTCTTTCCAGATATTACCACGTTCTATTCATCAACTTGGTGCCTGTCTTCATCCCTGGCGTCATGTTTTCTTTGTTCTACCTCGTTTCCTGTTCCCTTGTATATTGTAGTGTGAGGCTTGCTTTTTGGTGCAGTTCAATCGTTTCCCCCCAAGTGTATTCTATTTACCCAGGAGATTTTTCATAGTTTTTTCTTCAGCAGGTGATAGGTTTGTTGTCTGCCACAAAGGTTATTGCAGACAAGCTCTGCAATGGATCTGAAGTATTTTGAGTCTGAAGCTGTTTGCATATATTTTTACAATTTGGTAATGATTTTATCTCTTCAGGTTTCATCTATGTATAATAAAACTTTTGACGTTAGTGCTGGGGTATAGTTGTTCTGAATTATGGATATTTAGTTATAGGAATGTTACCCTTGTACTGTCAGTTTACGCTTTGATATCTTAATCGGATTCTTCTTATCTACTGATGATACTGCTTAGGTACGTGAAGAATTCAATCTCTCCCAGAACTTTGTTATCAAATGTAATTTGTTTAGTGCTCACTATGTTGTACTTCAGGATCTTGCTTTTCCAATTGTGTATGCTGAGCTTTACTGTTGTGGAAGCCAATGTAGCACTGACTATTTTTGCCTACATTTGACGCTTTATGCGACATAGAAAGGCTTAGTCATCTGCAAAGTTCAAGTCATTCAACTACGTTCACGGTATCCACTGCGTCCCGTGCTTTCCCGGAATTTGTAGGTTTTCATAGTCCAGTCAATAACCAGAGGAAAGGGAGGCGACAATAAACTAACAGCCTTCACTTGTAATATACCCCTGAGCTACGCCCTATGCATGACTTTGTACTACAATCCGTCGTAAGAGTTGCGTGTGGTGGTGACGATCTTTTAAGGTACTCCATAGTGTCAAAGAAGGTTTCATAAGGTTCTCCTCTCCATTCAGTCTAATGATTATTGTAATCTAGTATGTTGATATATGGTGATGAGTTCAATTCATTTGATTGTTCAGTAATGTATACAGTGTAATGATTCTGTCGGTTAATGATTTATCCTTATGAGAGATAACTTGTTGATATGGAGAATGAGGGTCTACTCAATCGTTCGTTCGTTTCAGCAACTCTTAGTTGCGAACTTTGCCGAGCACTAACAACAGTGTGATCTTTCTGTATTATTCACATTTATTAGGATCTAATTTCTTCATTTTGATGAAGTATTGCATTTTTCGGTCTACTGATACGCCTTATTCCGCCCAAATCTTTCCGAAGAGTACATGGATCATCTTTGCAGTCACCTGTATACCTGATTTAGTGTCTTAGTTGGTATGCTGTTTGCCCCTGCTACTTTGTCACTCTTGATTTGTATGATGTTCTTGCTATTTTCTTCGGTTGTTATTGTGATATCATTTTCAGAGACGCCCGTGTATGCTACTGTGATTTCTCCGGGACTCACTAGAGCCGGTCTATTCAAGTGTTCTTCATAGCACTCTATTCACCTGTCCCACTGCTCATGAACCCCAGTAATCGGTTTGTCTTTCTTGATTTTGACCGGTCACTCCAGGTTACTGTTTTCCTTCTAGGGTCTTCGCTGTATCATATGGTTTGCTCGTATTTCTTGCTGTCGTCTCCAGGCCTTTAGCATATTTCCTCTTGTCAGCTTTCATACTATTTTTCATTTGTTTGTTCGCTTCTGTATATTCAGCCTATGCCTTGGCTTTCTCTGCTCTCCTTCTGCTGTTGTTGGTTGCTGCTGTTGGTTATTGCTTAGGTTATCGATAGAAATTCATTTTTCATGATGTAGCTTCTTAGAGCTCAACATGTGACATGTTTAAGTAATTCATTAATCAATTCCCAGTTGTTCTCCATAGTCGTTTTCTTTTCTTTTGCTAGACCTTGTAAGGCTTGGAGCTGTTTGCTGAAAGTTGACTGAAACTTGCTAAGCTCTCTAACGGTTTGAAACAGCATTGTGCTAAAATTTCATAGTTCTGTTTGTTCAACTGTCAGATCTTCTCTTACTTTGATATTAGCTTGGCTGCCATCAAGTGATCTAAAGTAATACCTTATCTTTTATTTGTTCTTACATATTCAATGAACCTTCTGAATGTTTTTTGGCGGAGATGTGATCGATCTATTTTTCCTTGGTGTGATCAAAGGAAACTGATGTAGCTTTGCGTATGAATTTGTGAGGAGGAATTATCTAACCCGTGATCATGTTAAAAAGACACAATTAACAGCCTCTTATCATTCTCGTTTCCACTCCTCACTCCATGTTGTTCTATGATTCGTCCATGCCAAGCGGTCATCATCCTTGTCAGGATAGTCAGGGACTTTCCTGAGCATTTCTATAGAGTGTACTACATCTCACAAGACTGTTCTTTGTCATCTTTACTAATATCGTTTCTGGGTACATAACACTATATGATGTTTGTTGTAGTCCTTTCCTTCTTTTATTCGAAGAATGTGTTGGTTATCGTGAAAACATGGTTTTTCGTAATATAAGCGCGTTTTGTAAATCTCTAAACGGTATCAGCTCAATTTTTGTATATGTTATACATTTTATTCTGGATGATTAGAATTCAACATCTCTCATGAGATATGTCTTTTCTGTTCAGAATGTGTTCAATGAGTTCCACTTGTCCTAATCAAAGTCAGGATGTACCTTATCGTTTGCAAAGCTATTTGATCTTCTAGTTCTCGTACATTGTTCGGACACTCCACGTCCCTAGATTATTTTTTGCCCTAGTTGTCAGAACAGACATTGGCCTCGTGGCTTTCAAGGATTCGTGGTTATCACCGTGAGGCGTTATCACCATTCTATATGAAGACCCTTGAACTACTAGAACAAGGTTTAAATATGGACACTTATTATCTTTGATGACCATTTTCCTAGTGTGTTTCTTTTCTGGGAAATGGATTTAAAAACCCTAATCCTAACTCTTTTATATACAATCTTGAGATCTGTGGTAACCTTAGAAGAGCTTCAGCTGGAGTTAGAACACATATACCTCAAGGAAAATAGACTTTATACTTTACCCTTCGTATCCGTTTCCGTATAATATAAGCCATCTTTAAAGATTTCTATCAATTACGATGTTAAAATTTAAGTTAACAGAATTTTGATGTGGTTATGGGTAATGATTTTTCATTGATTTCAGTATAACACACTGAGGCAAATATACTTAATCAATTATTTTTTGTCTCTGAGCTATTGGGTAACCAGTTTGTCAACAAATGAGTTGTACGTCATGAAGCATAACTAATGCATAATTCACTTCAACTTTTCTTTTTTCAGAGAAAAAATATCAAGCTTTCTCCGACATTAAGGGTTTTAAAACTTAATAGACCTGAACTACATCTGATAGTTTTAGGATGTATTTGCTGTGTGATTAGTGGGACCACTCAACCAGCTTTTGCGATTCTGTATACTGAAATGTATAGTGTAAGTACGCTTATAATTCACTGTTTGATTATTATTTGTTCTGGTAAAACCAAATGATTAATAAATTTTTATTCCAGCTCTAACTCATTTCGGTTGTTATTAGTTGTAATGATGGAATATGTGATTGATATTTCATAAAAGTGACATCATAAACCGTTTATCTCATAATAATCTAATTTTATATACATACGCATTTCTGGCTTAAGGGACTGATTAGGTTGTAGAAATGGATGAATCTGATGTTGTATGAATTAGTCAATGAACATAATTGTTGAATGAGATTAAATGTTCAATGAGCTTTATTTGATATTGTCTGTTTCATACTGTGACGTCGCATATATGTGTGCATTCTCGACACAATAATTAGTCAAAAAAAAATACCAGAAAGTTCAAATTTGTTATTCGTATTTAAAGGTTGACGCAAACGAATAAATTAAAAATGCCATGGAAACTGGAAGTGGATTGCTCAAAATGGCGAAATAAATTTTAAAAGATTTTAACTATGTTTATACCGACAAATGCTGGTAAAGACACGTTTCCAGTTAGTATTTGTTTGAGAAGAGAAGGGTCTTCAACACTAATGTCAAGAGTGAAAACGTCTTTATTGCAAGCTGATAATAACAAACTAATTATTCTTTCTGTTGATAAGCATCGAGCTGGAGAGTCTTATGAACTTTTTATTCCAAACGGATTTTCTTTAACATTCCACCAGTTGTTCCCGTTTTAACGGGACAGAAAATGCAATTTCAACCAATTTTCTTCCTCATGAATATGCAAATAAAATCATTCAGCTTTGTAGATTTTTAACTGAAGAATCTAATCAGGACGATTTCTAGGAGAATCGGTAAGTACTTATTGAAAAAGGATTATAATTTGGTTGCATGAAATGCAATTAACGAAATCGGTAGTAGGTGACACATTATTATAGAAGCAAATGCAGTGATTAATAAAATAATATTTGGATCTAAATTCTTCGTTAAATCTTTGGAAAATATGACTCGACCTAAAGAAATCAACAGAAATCTCGTATTGAATTGTCATAAAATATACGTTTTCGGATAAATGTGATGTTCCTCGACTGTAGTAACTCATTAAGACATAAGAGTAACGCATCTGGATATAACTGCTTACTGGGCGTAGATGAAGGTGATCTAATGTAAACCTTATGTAACAAGAAGCGGACAATATTCATGGAATGGAAGCACAATTGCAGTACAAGTCATTTTCAGAGTAATTAATAGTTGCAATTAATTTAGCAAATACGAATTTACCAAGAAAAATGTACACTTTTTGCCATACACATATAATATTGCTTTTCTGGAGAATTGTCTACCAGTTGCATTGTGTAACAGTAACACTTGTGAAATTACCCATTTTAGATTTTTCCTTTGCGATCTAATCCAGATCTGCTGTTTAGTCGACTCACTGTTGTATGTGGGATGATGGTGGTGATTGGAATTCTACGTTTTGTAGCTAATGTCAGTCAGGTAGTATTAAAAACTCAAGTTTTTGTATTCGTAGTTTATTGTGTTAGAAACATTTCATTTTTTTATGTATGTTAAATAACATAAATTGACGTAGATATTATTTTGTATGTTGAATGTCTGTGTCCACATTCGTCCCATTTATTCTCTGAATTTAGCAGTCGTAGAAATCTAATTAAAATAATGTTTTTTTTTCGTAATAAATAGTTCAATGGTCACTTACCTTTATATGGTTAGTTCTGCAATGACATCTTTAATATAATGTTGCTTTTTTGATACACAATAGACAAGATCATTTTGAAATGGTGTCTATTTACTCAAATAATGAAACACTGATTATTCGTATTACTAAAACTATATTGTTCAATTGGAGTATACATTTCTATAGTGTAATAAGAAGACGAAAAAGTTTTCAAAAGGGATGAAAAGAAATACAAAAACCGCCGTTCGTTTAACGATATTCAAGATTATCAGAACTATGTGATATATTAGCGCAATACATTTCGAACAATCTGATCACATATATACTTGACAAGAACATTTATATATAAAAATAAAAGGTTAACTAGACTAGAAATCGAGGTTAAGAGGAGACAAAGATATATTAAACAAATTACGTGAAAACAATTTGAAACCTCATCACTCTGGATAATAAGCTAATATTACGAGGGTAGGTTTAAGGTGAGAGCAAACTGTTTTTGAATACACAGAGGGGGTTTGAATTTTCGTATGGCTAAGGCTTCAATAAACCTTAGTAATATGCCCTTTTGGTTTGAATAATTCTTTCTGGTTAGCGTTTTTTTAGCGAGTTAGTTTTCTACGGGTTGGGGACCCTAACCCTATGCCCAACCCTCCTCCTTTATCCGGGCTTGGGACCGGCAGCAGCCCCCGAAGGGACTCCAGACGGTAACTGCAAGGATACTCCACATTCTCTCCAATAAGATTTGGGATGAGGAACAAGTACCAAAAGACTGGAAAGAAGGACTCCTGATCAAAATACCGAAGAAGGGTGATCTCAGCAAGTGTGATAACTACAGCAGCATCACACTTCTCTCAATACCAGGAGAAGTGTTCAACAGGGTATTGTTAAACAGGATGAAGGACTGCGTAGACGCCCAACATCGTGACCAACAGGCAGGATTCCGTAAGGATAGGTCGTGTACAGACCAAATCGCGACTCTACGGATCATTGTGGAACAATCAATTGAATGAACCACTCTACATCAACTTCATTGACTACGAAAAGGCATTTGATAGCGTGGACAGAACAACACTATGGAAGCTTCTTCGACACTACGGTGTGCCTCAGAAGATAGTCAATTTCACACAGAGTTCATATAATGGATTACACTGCAAAATCGTGCATGGAGGACGGTTGACAAAGTCGTTCGAAGTGAAGACCGGTGTTAGGCAAAGTTGCTTACTCTCACCCTTTCTCTTTATCCTGGTGATCGACTGGATCATGAAGACATCAACATCTGAAGGAAAGCGCGGGATACAATGGACATCTAAGATGCAGCTAGACGATCTAGACTTCGCAACTGATCTGGCAAACGCAACAACAAATGCAGGAGAAGATGAACAGTGTGGCAGCAGCCTCAACAGCAGTAGGTCTCAATATACATAAAGGGAAAAGCAGGATTCTCCGATACAACACAGCATGCACCAATGCAATCACAATTGACGGAGAAGCTTTAGAAGATGTAAAAACCTTGACATATCTGAGCAGCATCATTGATGAACACGGTGGATCTGATGCAGATGTGAAAGCGCGGATCAGTAAAACAAGAGCATCATATTTACAATTGAAGAACACCTGGAACTCAAAACAACTGTCAACCAACACCAAGGTCAGGATTTTCAATACACATGTCAAGACAGTTCTACTGTATGGGGCGGATACCTGGAGAACTACGAAAGCCATCATCCAGAAGATACAGGTGTTCATTAACAGTCGTCTACGCAAAATACTTCAGATCCGTTGGGCAGACACTACCAGCAACAACGTACTGTGGGAGCGAACAAACCAGATTCGAGCGGAGGAAGAAATCAGGAAGAAGCGCTGGAAGTGGATAGGACCTACATTGAGGAAAGCACTCAACTGCGTCACAAGACAAGCCCTCACGTGGAATCCTCAAGGCCAAAGGAGGAGAAGACGAAGATCAAAGAACACACTACGTCGAAAAATGAAGACAGTCATGGGAAAAATGAACAAGAATTGGATGGGACTAGAAAAGAACTCCCAGGACAGAGTGGGTTGTAGGATGCTGGTCGGCGGCCTATGCTCCATTGGGAGTAACAGGCGTAAGTAAGTAAGTAATATGCCCTTTTACACTTTTGTACAACACCACAAAAGTCGAGTTAAGATCAGTCTTATAACCTGTTCCAATTATGCGTTTGGCAATAAAGGATGATGGATTTTTATTCTCTACTCTTATTGGGTCATTCGATTCTATTTGTTTCTGTAACCATTTCGGTACATGCTCACACACCCTAATTTTGAGATCACGATTACTCCTCCCTATGTATGTGTGACCACACATTTAAATTGGTAAACACAGTGTATGTAGCGCAATCGTTTTCTTGCCTTTTAGGTTTTTGATGAAGCATGAACCTTGTTGTTTCCTTGATAATGACTTTTTCTGCATAATACGTGTTGTTAATGTCTGGTTTAAGCCTTTTTTCAATAAAAGGCTATTTGAATCATCTATAAGTGGTAAGGTGATGTAGACAGGTATTTTTTCTGCCAAGGCTATACCATGAACTTTCTATCTGTTTGCGAGTTTAAGGGGATAGCCATTTTGCATCGATGTTTTGTTTAGCGACTTAACATATTTCTGATTACTAACGTCAATATTTTCGGTTTGACTACCTCTGGTTTGATTAGATTTAATGTTTTTTAAGGTGATTTGGAATCTAAGTATAATTTTGTAAAACTGCATTATGTTATAATACAACACAGTTATGTAAAATCTAAATTGACTGCCTTTCCCCTTGAGCTTGTACGTACCTCGCATTTCAGTTTAATATAACAGTAATTCGTTAAATCGCGTTACAAATTCCTTTGAATTCATGTAACTTACCCGTTCTTTCAAGTGGAATTTAAACCAACTGATGAGTATATAGACAGGTCGACTAATATTTATACTTCTCATCTACTTATTTAGCATTACCATATTCATTAATGTTTCATATATGTAAGACTAAATAATTTTCAGAAAAGTAAGGGAACCATGTTCATTTCTTCAAATTTGTTAAAGTAATTCCATAATTGTATCCTCTCACGCTGGATGTTATTCAGCACAACTGTTTTGGATTTTTACAAGAGTGAACTAAAGTTACTGAAGATAACTTTCTTTTTATAGTACTTTGCATCTACACCAAAGTTATGTTAAAGCTTCGGAATCAGATCACTAGCAATTATGTTTCCAGAATGTTGACTGTCAACATCACAGCTTTTTATTACATTGAGGAAATTTATTTCCTTTGAAATTGGACATGTTACCCTGTATATAAATTCCAAAACAAGATTTGTCTTGACTGAATTGATCTTATTGGTATAATGGTTTTTAGTCATAGTATGAAATTAGAAACAAATTTATACTTCACAGTAGCCAAATCAGAGTTAACTAATTGTTGGAGTGATTGTTAATAAACTCATTTTTTACTAAGTAAATAAAATTAACTTTAAATGCACATATTTTTTTGAATTTATTTAGAGTTTACTTTTCGGAAAATCAGGCGGTATATTAGTTAGTCGCCTACGATCAAAAGTTTTTGAGAGCATGCTAAATCAAGTAAGTTAGAGGTGATTTTCTCGTTTCACATAATTACTTATATTTTAATTTATTCAAATAAAATAGTTAGAAATTAATGATTCCACTTACTCTTACGTATTTTATTTAGGAAATAGGATGGTTTGATAAACCGGAGAACCAAGCAGGAGCATTAACTGCAAAACTGGCCAATGATGCTATGAAAGTGACAATGATTTCAGGTTCACAATTGGGTTTCATCATAGAAGCTGTAGCATTGATAGCTATGTCTTTTGTGGTTTCGTTTATCTACAGTTGGCAACTGACTCTCCTAATATTAGCCTTCTATCCACTTATTGTCATTGGAGGATTTTTCCAGGTAATTCGTTTCATTTGACAAGTATTTTAAAGGTTTTGAAAGATATGTGTAATGGAGGTTTCCATTGATGTTTACTAGAATGTTGAGATTAGTTCATGGTTGGTAGAGAAGCTGACTAAACTTCGTTACAATTATATGTTTGATTAAGTAGCGACAAATATATTTATATAGTTTGATTAAAACTTCTAGAACTAAAGCAACACATTTTGAATAAGTGGGATCAATTTATATTCCATGAATCTACAATTTTACACAAGCATTATTTCATGTGTTGTAAGTGAGGTGAATGCTAAAAATTGACATCGCATGTTCTGAATCCTTTACTGATTATTGGCCTATAAGTTGATCGGTTCTACAAAGTGTGGATTCTGTATCACTCATTATCTTTGTTAAAACAGACGTTCATCTGAGAATGTACCGATGATATAACACCTGGTTTTATCATCATAGATAGTTAAATATAATTTGTAGAATGTTCTTTATACATGCCAGTTATCATACGTACCATATATTCAGAGGCGTAATATGAAAAACAAATCGTCAATATTTGTGACAGATTCAACCAATGATGCTCATTCTTAATGATAACCGAGTATATGTTCACATCACAGAAAACATTTAAGTTGAGAGTTTGTGATACCTTGCTCCATCCATTGAGCATACAAGTACCAACCTAAATTTGCGTTTTGTTTGGCACATAAAATGCATTCAACCCTGACAACTCTTGACCAAACTAAATGGCTGAAGTCATATACATTTAGTCAGCACTTGTCCTTTTAGTATGGATATGACTTGATGGAAGTTTGAAATAATTATACAAATTCATTTATTTCACCATCTTATCCAGATGCGAACACTTTCAGGAAGTAGTAATATTCGGAATGCTAATGAAGCAATGAGAATTGCTCAAGAGGTGACTGGCTCAAGCTACACAGTTACTGCATTTACATTAGAAGAATACTTCTTTAAACGTTTTGAATCTCATGCAGTTGAAAATCTGAAGTGAGTTTTGAAAAAAATACTCGTGACTTATATTGGGATTATTAAAAAATTTATTGTTGGCGTTTGCATCCGGAAAGAAGGAAAATATAGCTTTTCCTTATCAAACTTACATCTTTCCAGCAAAACCGAATTCATCGAATCATGCGTACGATCAGTGTGCGGATCAGCGAATTTCAATGTGTAATTTTACATTTATCTAATTGCTTACAATTCATTGTACTTTGTCTAGTAAATTAACATTCTAATTTTTTTAAAAATTACTACGTTACTCATTTTCTGGAACAAAGACGTGACAAACTCATTAACACTGATAACTTTACGAGTCTAAAATAACTAGTTTCAATCGTTTTCCCACTACAATTTTGTAGATTGAAGGGTTTCTAAGTTATGTTTGATAGAATCCTTTTTTAAATGCCTTACTATATCAATTTTATTACAAGAAAATAAAAACAAACATTATACAGGGTATGTAAAACTGTCCTAGCCTACTGAGTATATTGTTGGATGAAATTATTTGCATTAATGGTATCCATTATTGTGCAAGTTTCTTTAGAGTACGAAATGTCATGTGGATGCTTTGAAATACACCAATTTTATCACCATGAACAATACTTAATAATATAACAATTATACCTGTGAATATTCATTTGATTCAGTATTATTATTCTTTCAGTTTGTCTGAAGTTCATGATGTATTCTAAGATTGAGTACTTAATGCCAAAAACAATGATAATTTATTTTGCTCAGGACAACTTATTTTCAAACGTTTCCAAAAAATGTAAACATTTCACTATGATTTTCAACAAATATTCAACCACTTTTGTAATGATTTTGTTGCTTTGTTATAGTGTCTTATTTACTTGAAATGAAGTCATATTATGTTCAGGTGGAGGATATTTATACATAGTGTGAGAGTAGTTATTCTATACTGATTACTAATTATCATAAACAAAAATTTACATAAACATATAGAAGAGGTGGATATTAGCTATCAGTGGATAAAGGGACATGTGTTTATTTCTATTTGAGACTAGGTAGTTGTAGGTACTTGTGTACATTTTTGAGAATTCGTACTTGACTCAAACTCATTTCCTACTAAACTACTGAGTTCAAATGAATTCGGACTACTTCGGCTGGAATAAAGCATAGTTTATCTGTAAGGATTTACATCTTGCCGAAATCTGATTGACAACCTCAAGTGAAGATTTTATGTATAAATCTTCTTTTTCTGTTTTTTTCCTAAGAAATAACTTGAAAACGATATTTGTAAATGCCATTATGTACGCTATTGCAGAAAGTGTATTGTTGTTCGCAGTAGCTGCTGCGTATTCACTTGGTGCACACTTGGTTTCAACAAAAGCAATAACGGTTTTAGCAGTGTTCAGGTAAATTGTTTCATCTTCAATTCAGATCAGTTACCTTTATGGATATTAGAGTATTGAATGTAATTATTTCATGTTTTGTTGATTTTTACACTATAATTCAGCAGTGCACGAAGGAAGCGCAAAGTATCCCACTATTCAGTTATCACATTAGTTATCTTGTCATTATGAGTTTCAACGAAATCAAGAAAGTATGCTATTCATTCAGCTGAATGAATGAAAAATGAGACTTGAGATATGAGCCATCTTAATGCATAACACTTGATGAATATTGGTCCTTATTCTAGTTTATGAGACCACTTGCTCACTAATTCACTGAAATATGTATACATGCTTAAATACCAACTCTAACTCCAAACGTTGGTCCGCTTTTTTCTAGCCAAGTATTCACGTTGCCAAAAGGAGTAAGAAAATTATGGGTTATTCCTTTAATATCTGTGTACTTCATGATTCACATCCATTTAAAATAAGGAAAAGTAACTGAGTAAGAAGCACAAACTCCTTAAATTCAGTTTGTTGGTTGTTAATCTACTTCGCTAATGGTATCCTGAAGCCAGGAATAAGTTAACGCCCAATTAAAGGCATTCTAACAGATTTATTTAGGTTCATTGCAGACTCATTTTTAAAAGAGACCAAGTTCTCTCAATTGTCCACGTGTACCAGAATCCTCATTCTTAAGTCTGCGATATTATTTTATTACCTTAAAATGTTTGAGATCTGGTAGACTAGACCAGAGTACTAATCCACTTAAATTATTAGACGTATTACAAACTTCATCGACAAAGTATTACAACTTCTACGAATCACTCAACAGCGTTTAAGCTACTACTCAGCTAAAGATTCGTTTAATTAATTTTCAAGCAACGAAAGTGACCCCATTATACCATTGAAGAGACGAAGAAAATTCTTCTGAAAGTATTTCTTTCCGACTATACTATTTACCGAATTATATTTGTGGTTATTTGCTGATAATCAAAAGAAAGAGATCGGATCACAACGTATTTTTAAGTTTTCAGTATGTCAAAAAGGTTGCGAAGTAATGCAAATGTTAAAGGAACATCATAAATCACTAGTGAATAGAAGTAATTTTAATGGATAAGGGAAATCTCACCATTTGAACACTTGTCCTTCTAATGAATCTTTGTTGTTCTGATATTTTCGATTTGCAAGCTTCTAAACCCTGTTTGTAGTCTGTTGATCTCACTCTAATTTGTTTGACGGTGGTAATAAGAAGCCAAACACGGTTTGCGTTGAAAGAATTCATTTCAAGCATTCGTTTATACAGTCGGACATTCAAAATAGAAAGCGGGAAATTGAAGCAAACCGGAGCGGAGAAAGCGAGTTGGCCAACTTATTTTAATAAAGCATGACTCGATATTTGTTGTCAGACAAAAAGTTACAGACACATAATGAATAGGGTGAGCAATTAACACATATGCGCTCGTATGAAAATAGCCAAGATTGATAAGCGAATAATTAGCAATGTCAAAATATGACTTGAAAAGAGTGGATAAGTCAGTCTGTAGCTATAATAACCCATATGGTTTTGACATAGAACCAAACACCACACACTATGGAATATCATGCATGTGAATCGTGACATTTTAAAGCCAGAACCAAATATGATTAGGAATTTTGTAGGTTTCTACAGTGTTTTTCTGTTATGAAATCAAAATGAATACTTTATCGAATAGTTACTCTTTAAAAAATGTTAGAAACAAAATCTTTTGGATGCATCTTTTGTGAAAAAATTAAAATGAGTTATAATTACTAAAATAGTCTACTTTGAAATGATAAACTGTTTAATACATATGATAAGATTTACAAACAATATGCTAATATTATATTGGACGGATATTAACAGGCCTAAATTTCACATTTGTGTGTAAATCTAAGAACCGTCACTGGTAATGATTCTGAGTAAATATATAGAAGAGTACATCAGAAGTTGCTTTTAGTTTGAATACTAAAAGCTCCAATTAAGAGGTTTAATCATATTAATTTTCATCACGATGTTTAATTATTGACCAGTACACTACCTACTGCGATAATATCACTAGCATTCATGTAGTATGTGTGGTTTACAGAAAACTACACTGAACTAAATCTGAACATCAAGTTGGTTAACCAAACATACATAGCTTCATTTAAAGATATTTTTGGAAAATGTGACATGAATTTTATTAACCTTAAGGTAACTTTTCGTTTCTCCAGGTTTAGAATACCATAGAAAAACGTTGAAATTATACTACGATACAAGGATGAAGTATAAATAGCATCACTAAACAATCATTAGGGTGGTATACAAAAAAAACTAACTGAAATGTTTTGTATTTTATTTATGATCGCACACAATTCCTGTTCTACTGCCTTACCACCCAAAATCCTGGGTAGTGTTTTAAAAATGTATATTTTAATACCGTATTCGGATTAGAATATTCCAATCACTTGGCAATTACCTAATTATGGTAAATATCAGTGAAAATGTGTCATCGTTTTCAGACGTTTTCCTTGTTAAATTCCATAAATATTTTATCAAGCATTTGTCTCAGAAACTCGATGCAATCACTTTGATTATATTATATTATGACATTTCAATTAAAAGGGTTTTCGTAACTATCCATTTGAGTGCTCAATCTCTTGGCCGTACAGCTACACTAGTTTTGGGTACTAAAGCAGCAGGTTCAGCTGCGAAATGTATTCTTGAAATTCTAGACAGGAAACCTCTTATTTCAACTAATATAGGGAGTGTACCACGTGAAAAATTCAAAGGGAAAATTTCGTTCAAGAACGTTGATTTCAAATATTTTTCTCAAACTGAGAGACGGGTTCTTAAGGTAAGTTAATGTAGTAAGTGAGGAACAGTAATACAGTGTTACAGAAATTTATTTTCGTTCGAGTTGAATTTGTTCTAATCACTGTTCAGAGGTTCTGAACATGTTTAGTTCAAACTAGATCATCATATAAACAAAAGAGATAGGAATAAGATAAATTCGTAGTTTTTGTTAAATGAAAATCTCAATCTACTAAAAAGATATGTCTTGCAAACACAACCATACTGAATGCAAACGAATTAATTTATTCATACTACAATAGAGTTAAGTAGCAAGTCACTTAAAGGCAATATTATAGAAATCTTTATATGTTAACGTAATTACTCTGCATAAAGACTGAATTAATATTCATAATAGGTTTAATTATTAATTTTAAAAGCTTTCTTAAGCGAATGAACCACTGATTCGAATTGTATGTGATGAAAATTCCAGTAATAAAATACAACTATTATTGTACTTGACATTACTACACTTTGCACTAAACAATATGCTTTATTCAGAGAGATGGTAATTTTTGACAGTTTGAAAAACACCACCACCACAGAACACTGTATTTGAGAGGATAATTATATCAAATGTGAATATTAGACACTGGTATAAATAACGAAATGATTCGAAGGGTTTACGTTAAAAAGCGTCTCACTGTAAGCACTGATCAGATTATTGATTAGATCTGTATATACTTAAGACAACCAGTTTTGGATTTTCACGATTATATGATCCTGTTTTCTAATAGCTATTTGTAATATACTTGTCGTTTACTTACCTAATGAGTTTTTGAAAATTTTCTGCATTTTTCAGAACTTTTCACACACTATTGAGCCTGGTCAAACAGTCGCATTAGTTGGACCTTCTGGGTGTGGAAAATCAACACTACTTCAGTTAGTATTGAGATTCTACGATCCATCATATCACGGTCCCGATAGTGGTGTGTTTTTCGATGATATAAATATTAGGGATATTGCACCTAGTTGGGTTAGAAAACAGATTGGTCTTGTTTCACAAGAACCCACTTTATTCGATCTCACGATAAGAGAGAATATTGCGTATGGAGACAATAGTCGAGAAGTGACGATGGAAGAGATTATTGAGGCAGCACGTGCAGCTAACATCCATGATTTTATTACAACACTTCCAGAAGTGAGTGAAAATATTCGGTTTATTAAACTCACTAAAAATTACGCTTCAGGTTTATATTTTCATTGTATTGTCAGCTTTCATGTTATTCGAATTGTTAAGAATATTTTCAAATATATTAAATAACTGTTTATAATTTTCACTGTTTTTAAGCAATATGAAACCAAAGTTGGACAACGTGGATCAAAGTTATCTGGAGGACAGAAACAGAGGATAGCCATTGCACGAGCTTTAGTTCGTAAACCTGTTTTACTTGTGTTGGACGAAGCTACTTCAGCTTTGGACAATGAGAGTGAGCGGATAGTTCAAGAAGCCCTTGATGCTGCTATGGGGTCGAGAACATCATTAGTTGTTGCTCATCGCCTGTCCACAGTCGTCAATGCTGATTTGGTAGTAGTTTTACGGGATGAACGAAAGATAGAGTCAGGACCTCCAGCAGCACTGCTCGCTAAGAAAGGAGCTTTCTATGCTTTGCACCACATGGAGAATTAAATCATCTCATCAAACTCATTCATCATTACACATCATTTTGGTGTTGTTGATTTTGATATAAAATTATTTCAAATAATTTATTTCTTTTAAAACTGATGCTTGGTAGGGAATGGGGTAAATTAAGTTTCGTGTGTTAGATTATTTTTATATATTTCTTAATTTTAAGCCGAAACTGCTGTTTACATTATGATTTTAATAAAATCAAGAGTTTAGCAGTTTTTCCAATCCTTTTGAGTACGTTTTGAATTTTTATAATTTGAATCACAGACCTTTCATTGTCAGATCATTATTTGAAAATCCGGAAGAACTGGATGGCCGTTTTGTCCTAATATGGGACTCTTCATTAGTGCTCATTAACAATTCGGTCTCCGAGATCTAAGTTCTGTTTACTATTTATATTTGCATATACTTATAATAGACACATATTAGAACGGCATGGCTGTTCAATACTTCCAGGTTTTCAACAATTGTCTAATAAAGGACATTTTGCAATTTAAATTCATATATTTTTAATTATCAGGAGCAATTTTATGACAAAAAATAAACATTTATCAGTTTAGTCTCAACACAATATATCAAACTGTACAGGTGCTTTTGAATATACAAGTTGTGTACCATGCATTCTCTACAACCCTTACTTCATAGTTAATGTGAAACATACCAATGACAAATAGATTATAGCTATTAGATATTTATAGAATCTCTGGAGTTGAAGTTAAATGCTTGTAACGTTTTGCTGGTCAGTGGGACCTAAGTCTCAGTGAGATTATCAAAACTATCTGAAATAAATAAGGTCAGAAATAAGTCTGAACTACACATCTGTTGGGACACGCTCACTGTCGACTTCTGTTCAGGTTATGAATAGAAGGAATTCATTGTGAATTATTTTCAAATATTGATGCATAGTGTTTTTTGTCGGTGTTTGTATGCTACACCTATGAAATTTCACTGAACATTTGACGTCTTAGCTTATAGTCAGGGTAGTACTCGACTTTCTTGTCATAATGAAACTACGCTTCCGACTTTGGTAATTATATTGTGGTGTCTCATTGTTTTTACAGATGGCAAAGAGAAGGCAATAGCTTTGATAGCATTCACAACATAGGGACATAAATAAAATCAGAAGTGTAAGCGGAAATGTTTGCGACCCAAATGTTTTTTCTAAGTAAAGTATACCTTGCTTATCAACCATAAACTTTTACAGCCTAACTTTATTTTTATGATGGGTAAGTTAATTTACATCACAAACCGTCTCTAAAGATGGCCTGTTTTTGAATTGTATCTTAAATGTCCAATGTAAATGTAAGTTTTTCCATGTAGGTGTTTTATTGCTTTTGAAAACGTGAACCGACTTGTCTTACTTCAACAGAATTACAGCAAGATGTAATGAAATCCATAGGGTACAGCTACTGTTATGGGGTAAATTGAATGATTATATCGAAAAGCTAGTGTGCTGATGAAATAATTATTTTAAAGCCTCAAACAAACAGAGAAAGCTGAACAGAATTTTTAGTCAATTTCTACTAACACACAATCTCATTTATGTTGACTTACTACAATTGTTTATCCGCAACAAATACCGACGCCCAAAAATATAAATACTTACTCATAAACAACTGTTTTCCATAGTTAAATAGAAAAATTTAGGAAAATAGCCTATAATTCTCATTGAAATTTAGCTTTTTAGATCATAAAACTTAAAACAAAATATTTGCTAATCATATTTTATTTTGATCATTTCTCACTATTTCATTAAGAATATTTATATATAAATGAAAGTTACCATGGATGATTTATTCTAGTATCTATAGCTCAATTTAATGATATGAACTAGTTGACTGATAAAATAATTAGATCAAATTTAAACTGTTCAATCACAAATACATAACGAATATAATTACTATACATTGAGTTTTGTTATTATGAAAATACAAGAATATATACATTGTAACTAATAACAATTCAACGATGGATAGTGGCTAGCAGTGGAATACAGTTTGAAGCGCGTTTCATCCTATTTGGGACTCGTCAGTTGGATGTACTTGCATCTCATAGTTGACGCTCACTCTAGGACTCGAGTCTCAGAGCGAATCCTTGCTTACAAAAAGCTTGTGAATTAAGGCAATATCAAGGCATACACACAGTATGCACATATGCCAATAACAGACTGATCAATCGCAGTCTTAAACCTCAATCGGAAGATACAAGCCAAATAATACCAAGCTAATTGAAATTCACCCCATTGTACAAACAAGTGGCTATCAGGACTCAGTAGCTAAGTGGATGAGGCGATGGCGTTTGAAGCAAATGGTACTAAGTTCGAGTCCCAGAGTGAACATCAACTGTCTGAGATGCAGGTACATCCAGCCGATGAGTCCCAAATAGGACGAAACGCGCGTCCTATATTCCACTGCTAGCCACTATCCATTATTGCTTACAAAAAGTTTGTGAATTAGGGCAATATGGAGGTAATACGCACAGTATGCACATATGTCGATAACAAACTGATCAATTGTAGTCTTAAATCTCAATGGGAAGATACAAGCCAAATAATACCAAGTGAACTTAATAACAATTCATATTTAATATAATACAATTCCATTTATATATATATATATATATATAATATATAATTACAATAGAAACTAATGAAATATTTTTATAATAATTAAATAACGAAGTTGCGCCACCGTACACCATTGTCTTTAGTTAGCTGATATCTCACAACTCCAATAGTAACGGCTTCTCACTAGAACTCCAGGAGTATCTCCTGAAGTCAGTCATTAGTAAGCAGTTGATTATTATCAGAATGGGTTTTGTGGAGATTTTTCTTTAGAAATTTCACTGATTGAAATCATGAGTCCATTGAAGCTAGAACACCATAGAAAACATGGAAGCACTGTACGACCGTTTCATCCTAGTATGAGATTTTTCAGCAGTGCGCATCCACAATCCTGTACCCCACGGGATTCAAACTCTGCACCTAAGAGAAAGGCTATTTTAAATAATATAAACTTATTAGTTAAAATAAAAATTCAAATTAATTAACTCGGTATATACTTTTTATTTATTATTTAATTCACTTCAATATTCATTACAATTTCAATTTAGAAAATGATAACTATTAACTAACTTGCTTTTTTTTAATTATATTAATTTATTATGATTCGGCTTTTTATTTCCTTATTGATTTAATTACATTATGTAACTCATTATTATTATTATTATCATAAATGATACACTTTTGTATTGATAATATAAATTTGATATGTTTCATTGTATTTAAACTATTATAATCACTTTTCCAAACACTTTTTTTTTCTATTCATCATTATAAAATATATTACTTGAATCATGTTAATTACAATTTAACTCAATGTTATATGAATAAATTAATGACAGTAAATTAATAGGAGTTAATACACCAATGAATTAGTTGTTAATAGATTTATTTATTTGTGAATATTCAACAGAAAAAAAAGCCTATCCCTAAAGGATGTTTATCAATGATAATGAAGTATATATATATATAAACAAGTGTATATATATATATATATATATATATATATATATATATATATATATATATATATATATATATATATTTGTTTATTATGGTCGTTTTACATTGGATAAGTTATTACCATTCATTGAAAATAAGGATAATCTTTATTTAATTTATCAATCAAAATAGTATACGATTGATTTCATTTAAAAATACAAAAAAAAAGAAAGGATAATGGTTATTTATTTTTTTCCTTTTTTTTTCCATACCGATTCACGTCACTCACATTGAATCATTTGCATAAACAGTTGTGTTGTGTGTTTTTTTTTCTTTCTTTCTTTCTTTCTTTTCTTAGATTTTTCATTATTTCACTGATTATTATGATTTAATTTTGTATTCATTAAAATATTTAGAAAAAAAATTAATGCATTCACAATATAGTTTTGTTTACTGTATATATGAAATTCAGGACAAATTGTTTGGTATATGATTATGTATGTTTGCCTTGTAATCAACCAATATGTTCTTATTAATTCGTCAATTTGTATAAAATATATATATGGAATAACCTATAGAAATTATACTTTGATCTTCATTTAATAATTGAAAACTTATTTATAAAGATTATGAACTAATCTAATAAGATAATTCTGAAAAACTTGATTATGCATTAATGAATTGTTTTTATTGTAGTATAAAACTATCTAACAATACTAAATCACTATCTTATCAAGGGTCTAACACTTCCAAATTTTCAATGGTTATCTAATTTAGATTGGTTTATGATTTCAACAACCTCAATAACTATAATTGAACAAAGAATATACTGTTATTTGTTTGGAAAAAAAAAACGATAAACAAATTGAATTTTGTATGGTTGAGAAAGAACTTGAAAATGTTTACATTTTAGAGTAGAAGAAATTATATATGCAGAAAGTACATTGTTTATCTCTATGGTTTATTGTATTCATGAAATATATGTTTTGTTATCAAATTATTTTGTCTAAAAAAGTCTTCCGGTATCAATCTACTAAATACTCATCAATACATGCTCAAGCAATGATCACACTAACATTGTAGAATAAATGACATTCTGCTAATCAGTTCTTATTACTCTACGAAATGTTCCATTCACTTTAAAGAAATATTTATCTTTGTTTATTTGAATTGATATGAAAATTCGTTAAATGATTTAGTAATTTATTCCATATTGATGGCTTTCAGCGATCTTAAAAGTCAGGAAGTAATGAAGTAGTACGCAGATTTTATGGAGTTTTAAACTTAAAAAGCATGATAAGATAACAGTGGATTAAGAGTTATATCTTGATACATTAAGCGGACAATCATAGTACCGTGACCCAACTAAACTTTAACTCCTAACAACAAACTTATCCTTTAGCTCATGGATCTAACACTGCTAACTCTAATATCCTGACTATTAAAAATTACTACACAAGAAAATAATCATTTAACCTTTACAAAATACAAGGTGTGGCCAAAATCAGGATATCCAGCAACGATCCATGATAACGTTTTAAATTCATACCTATATTTAACACTGGATA